AACTGAGTGACAAATTTAAATTTATTCCTATGGAAAATTGCCAGTAGATTAGCCAAACTGCCTAGACTTGTAAGACACTTCATGGATTGAGGTCTTTGGGATAATTAGTAAATTGTGCATGGAAATGGTAAGCAATTAATAAAGGGAGACCTTGTCTTCTACCCAGCTGGCTAGACTGGAACTCTTTGCAGACACATGCTACAGATATGTACCCATCTTCTCTTGTCCTTGGGGAGCCAAGTACAAGGTAGTGGTTTAAGATGAACTGGCCTAGGTCAGAGATGCTCCCCTCACCTGTGAGCCTCTGTGAAGGAGCATACTGCTGTAGTGAATTGGGGTAGGTGACTTCAAAAGGTAAGAACCTCCCATATCACAGTTGCCCGGGACTAGGGAAACAGGCTGATAATGCCTTAAGTAAGGCAATAATAAGGTATTAATAAAGCTACTTAGGTACTACAGCTCCTGTTACTGCCTCAAATCTCCCAGCTGCATGTTCAGATACACCATGAACAAGCAGTCTAAAATGCCTTTTCTAAAACTGACCTGCATATGCAATTCTCAAATGTGGTGTGTAAACTGAAATCAGCGTGATTCTGTATTATGAGTGATTGTTCCTGCTTGCTTGCCATGGCTTCTTATTTGAGGTTTTCATATTTATTTGAGTTTTCTTTTGGATCACACCGGTGCCAGTGAATATACATATTCCACTTCTGGGGAGCTGTGGAGTCAGGGAAGTGCTCTGTTTGCACATTACAATGAAGGATGGCTGTGAAGGATCCTCCTGTAACTTAGGGACAACCCACTGGGCTGCATCCAGGGACACACACTCCGACACCATTCTACGTAAAACCCAGACATGCTTCTGCTGCTTTTAATTAGACAGATAAAATTAGCAAGGAGATTAAGGTCAAAGGAGAAATTAAAAATATTTAAATGTTAGGTGGAATTTACAAAAGTGAATTGAACAATGAGGTACAATAAGGAATGTAAAGAGAAACACAGACACAATTGAAACATTCCTCGGATGCCACGCGGCTTAAGCCAGTCCACAGATAAGTCAAGAATTCTTTCTTGCCTCCTCTTAAACTGCTGATTCCAGGGATGTGGAAGAACATTCTCCAGAAACACTTTCCTTCTCCTTTTCTTCAGATGTTATCAAGAATAACTAATCAGTCAGTATCATTCAAGAATAGCCCACACTGCTTCCAATTCAAACCACTCACCTGTTTCCTGTCTGAATTTGCAAACTCTTGAGAGTTTTTTCCTTTCATTTGTATTTTTCCCCTCTCCTCAATTCCCATTAAACCAAGAGGCCCCTGGGACAACCACAATGCCAAACTGACAACATATTCTGGCCCCTTTGGATTTCCCAGGTGCACAGGTTTCCCAGTTCTTTTTTCTTGTTTGCATCTGTTACGGACAAGCACAGTCATTTTATAACACAGACATACATATGCGTGTCCTCACACACGGAAACAGGATTTTCTGTTTTTTTTCCAATTTGTGGTATCTTTTTCCTTTTTGCAGAAAATGCAAACAAAAGAAAAACAAGGTTTTCAATTGAAGGTACATCTCTTCTTCAATATGAAGACATTAATTGAATTGGTTGGATCCCCATGCAGTGGTCAGCAAAGTCCTTTGGCAACTGACAGAACAACATCTGGAGACTCAGGAGCTGGGTTTTGTTTGAAGAAACTTCCCTACAGGAGTCATGAGCAAAGGGAAATGGATGTGGGAGAGGGAGGGACTCTCGGGGAGGAGTATGAAAGGAGAAAAGAAAAGAACGTCATTGGTGAGGAAGAAAATGGAACACGGCTGCTGTTTCTTCCTTCCACCTCCTTCCCTTCTTCCTGTAGACAGTAACTCCACCCAGGGAGGGTGGGAGCCGAGTTCACTCTTGTTCCCCTGACATATATTGTTTTGTCTCCTCTACACTTAAGATCACCTTTCTGTATCTTAATTATTATGCTTTTGGTTTCCCACGGTGTTGTAGACATGCTTCTGTCACTGAGAGATGAATGTTGTCTGTAAGCAACAGGTCCAGTTTATTCATCGTCAATGGAAACACCTTTCTCAGCGAGAAGCGGGTCTCTCCAGCACATTCTACAGTGGTCAACCGCTGGTTCCCCCTGGAGCCTGGTCCTTTTCCTTCCTCTCCTCCCCCAAGAAGGCAAGAGTTCTCATGCCATGGCCGTTGGTGACTGACTCATCTGGACTCTCATAGAATGGATACTGTTCAGAATCTTCTTCTGATGGCCTGCCAAGGTGACCCCTATTCTCAGGAGGTCTCTAGAAGGGAAACAGCCACAGAGGAAGTCACTCTGGTGTTAGGGAAACATTTCACAGATCCAAACTCATCACCAAAGGCATGCTCCTGCATAGTTGGGTAGGCATGTAAAAGTGTTTAAAATCCAAGTAGTTTAAGTTTCCCCACAGTGTTGGCAAGCTTTCAATTAGAGATTTTCTCGCTCAGTCTCACATTCTCCATGCAGTGGTCCTTGTCTCTAATGCCTCCTCAGTTTGGATAGTCTGGCTTTCCCTTATTCTGGGGATATGTTCCTCACCTATGGGTTCTGCAAAGGCCCCTCATTCTGTCCATGGCCCTCAGGGGACTGGAATTTTCCTCTGCTGTGACTTTCAACACTTCCAAGGCATACTCTATGGCGTTTCAGTTATTCTGTGGACATTTCCGCCTAAATTAGTGAACACCCACTGAGATTGAAAAGATATGGGGCTGCCCAGTCTTCAGATGTTTTCTCCTAAATTCCACATTTCTGTCTCTGAATTTTCATTTCATGCATTTTTAAGAAGGGTAATCTCAAAATAACTAAAAGATATCTGCTTAAGCAGGAACCCAAATAATATGTGTAGGATGGGATTTTATTGGATTCGTCTTTTATCTGTATTACTATGAACAAGTTCAAGGCTTAAATTTGACCTTGGGAAGGCCAATGCATCTTTCCTTAATTAATAATAATAACATGTAACACGGCTTGAGTGTATCCTATATGCTATATACTATCTCATCTGAACTTATAAGGAAACATTTTGTAAAGAATGACAAAGCACTATAAAATCACAAATAATAGTAATTTAGCAGCAATTGTTTCTTGCACTTGTCCTATGGGCAGGTAATTGGCCATGTGCTTCCTATGTGCTATTCTATTTGTCTCCTACAACCATGAGACAGGCACTATTACTGTATGCACATTTATAGACAAGGTAAGTAGCATTAAGGGAAGTTAAGCAATGTGCTCAAGATCACAGAGCAGGTAAGCAGTAAAGGAGAAGGGATTCACATACAGGATGCTCTGGCTCTCAGTATTCATGCTTGGTTTCTCTCAAAGTCCTGACTGCGTTTCCCCCAAGCTTTTCTGACCGCAGTGTAACAGGTCTCTTGCCACACTGGATGCCCTCAAAAATCCTGGCTGGATCTTTGTCCATGATTCCTTTCCTAACCCACTTTCAGCTGGTAGTCAGTCCCCCAGGGGCTGCAGCTGATTGAGAGAGTCAAATTGCCCAAGTCTTTTTAACTAATACATTTGGGAAGCATGCTTGAGTTCTGAATTTACAAATTGCCCCGCAATCTATTTTATGGAATCACTCATTTTCTTTTTCCATCTTTTATCCCTCAAGAAACAAACTGAATTGCTCCAATAGTGTATGGACCTGTCTACTTTGAACTAAAGCTCCTAATTTTCAGTTTGACTTTCTTTTTAGTCTTCCCCCTGTTCTCTACGAAGGGACTAACCCCAATGGAGGGAATTACTTCTCTCGATCCCTTCACATTGTAGGGATCACACTGTAGGGATCACCCCTACCTACCTATGTATGGCAGATCACACTGAGAAAGCAGAAGCTGCCCATCTTCATGGATCCCATGCCTCTGACTGAACTCAGGTCTCTGACCCTCTAGAGACATCCATTTTAGCTTAAAGGATGGGGAGACTGGTTTTCCCCTGCTGAGGTAGTTCTTTTTAATTTTATTTTCTGCTGTTTGTTCGGCAGTCATTCAAAATGCCAGTGATTATCCTTTTTTAGGCATCAGGAAATGAATCTATTTAAAACATAGATTCTGATGTTTAGTGGACTCTAGGCTAGACATATACTCAAAGCATCTCCCTGGAAAAAGTGGAGGCTCTATCATTTCTGACAGGAACAAACCTCACAGAGTGGAGCTGGACTTCAGGAAGAGCTTAGAGCTCTCTTTGGGGCTTGAGTATTAGGAGTAGATCTCTCCATCTCCCTCTCCCGGACTCAGCAGCTACCCTGACCAGGATGGAATCCCAGAACCTAGCATGGTGCCTGACACATAATAGGAGATCAATTAGTGTTTGCCCATCAACTGACTGATGGATCCTCTCCCATGAGAAACGTGTGTTATAGGCCACCAGACTCCACCCAGGAGATCTCAGTACACATTGTAGACCAGGTAGCCTATGAGAACCCTCTGACAGGTGCAAGTGTGTGTGTGTGTGTGTGTGTGTGTGTGTGTTGTGGGAGGAGCTGGTGTCTTGGTTAGCATTATTTGAACTTCTACAAGTGCAGAAGGCAAGATTAGACCCTTCCTAAACTTAACCTACTGGTGTCCCTACTTTGCTGCATTGTAGAATCACCCAGAGCTTCTAAAACTCCTGATGTCCAAGTCTCACTGCACTCCAATTAGTCAGAAGCCTGGAAGTGGGAACCAGGCATCAGTCATTTTAAAATATACCCACTGACTCCAGTGTCCAGCAAATTAGGGCACAACTGCAGCCCTGTGGTGTAGACAGAATAATTTTCTGGTGGTGGCAGCCAGAAAAGCAGATTTAAGCCCTGGCTTTGCCATGTGTGGGCACCAATGTCATATCATTTCAGAATCTGCAGAACAGAAGGGGTAGAACTACACAAATATTTCCCAAACTGAAGTTCTATAAAAACCTGTCCCTCAAAAATATGGCTCCATGGTATTTAATAATTTTAAGTAGGTTTCTTTATTTCAGGATTTCTCATGGCCTTTATAATGCTAATATGAGCAGTGAATCTTCAAGAGGGTGATAAAGTACGCAGTATTTCCCAAATTTATTTGACCGTGGGACCTTTGTTCCAAGGAGAACTTATTAATATTTCCCACAACTGGTGCTACTCAGAACATTCTTGGGAAATGATGGACCACATGGATCTTTAAGAGCTCTTGCCTTATTGAATAATTTTATTTTGTGTACTCCTCCAAACTTCTATGGGAGCAGCAGACTGGTAAATAATTTGTGGGGGATGGAAATGTATGCTTATTTACAAGCACCGATGAAGACTGAGGATGTTCTTCCCACACAGCCACTTGTCGCTGAATCAGTGCAATATCTTTTCTGCTCTGTTGTTTAAAGTGCTGGCTGGCTGTGTTCTTTCCATCTGGATGCTCTCTTTGATGGCTTGAGTTTATAAACTTAAATGGACAAGAGACTCTCGGTGATTAGGCAAATGACATATGGCTATGGCTTTGAAGATCTCTCATTTGGGACCCAGAATAGATCTCCACCTCCCCTTCCAGCTCCCCCAAACACCTTCCCCTCCATCTTCCAAGGCACTCCCCCACATCCCTGGTTCTATACAGAAAAGGGCGTGTAAGATGAGACTAGAAATAGGACTCACAGCATTTGCAGTAGCAGGGGAGGGGCTACCCATGGGCGGGACAGAGGGGCTTCTCATCACTTACTCTGATGTCATCTGGGTGACAAGCTGAAGCGAGGTGAAGCCAGCAGTGAGGAAGCTGTCCCTGTACTGGACCATTTTGATGGCACTAAGCCAGTCATCCACGGTAGTAAAGGCTGTGAAGTCTGGGATGGAGCGGTCGAGCAGGGGCTGGGAAGGCCTGGTGAAACAGAGGAGCAGGTGATCCTACAGCAGAAGAGATGCATTCACAGAGGTGTGCTGTAGGCTGCAGGCTGCTGGCAGACTGCACGGGAAGAGCAGCAGCTCCCCCGAGAAGGAGCCCTGGCTGACCCACCCTTCCTAACGGAATCCTATATTAGTGCCACCCGAGGGTCCAATCTCTATTTCTGAGCACTGTCACAGGTCCAGTAACAGACAGGCACATTGGAACAGCATTCAGCTGAAGGGAAATAAATCACCTAACTCCTTTATCAATTGAAATCTAGGATCCTCATCATCTAAAAAGAAGGTCCTTTAAAAAGTATGTCTAGTTTGCCACTACTTCTCTAAATTTACTGGTATATTTTTGGGGGGAGGTGTTACCCTTGGATACTTGGGGGAAAAATGGAGCATAAAAGCCCACTACTAACTTTCTCTGGCACATTTTTAAGGCAGACATTTAGGCATCCATACTGGAAACTAGGGTGTCACCTTGACATTTCTCCAACCTCATATCCAGTCTTCACTAAGTCACAAATATTTTTACCTCCCAGATCTCTCAAACTTATCTACTTCTTTGCCAAGCCATTACCTTGACTTAAGACACTATCTTCTCTATTGTGACTCTTGAAGTGTTCTCTTAACACAAACAATGTCCAAATTGTAGTCAGATGCTTTTTCAAAATGCAAACGTGATCATACCAAAAACTCTCAGATGTCAAGAAACACATCAAAACTTTTCATAGGTGTTCACTGCTCTGAAAATCATGCCAAAATTCTCATCATGATGTATAGGCTTTGAACTGTCTTGCCCTTGCTTACCTGGACAGCCTCAGCTCCACACAGTTTCTTCCCCAATTGTACTCACAGTGCCTGACCCAGGCCTGCTCACCCTAGAGCCTCTGCACATGCTGCACACTGTTCTTCTACTCCCATCTTCCTTCTATCCACTTAATGCATCATTCCCTTCTGCCCTCACCTTAGATGACATCAGGAAAACCTCTTTATGGCAACTAAAGTTACAAGCTTTTGGTGCCTCGTGCACCCCTCCTGCTACAGCAGCCATTAAAGTTTCAATTTTGTATTTCTTTTCATGATCGTCTGATTAATTTTTGCTCCTTTTAAATCACTTTAAACCATCTCTGTATTACTCTTTCTATAGTACTAGCATCAGACAGAGTGGTTGGTCTATAAGCATGTAATCAATTTTGGTGAAAAAGATGAATTAATAAGTGATTTAACAATGCAAATGCAGCTAAGTAGCACAAAGCTGGCAGAGGCTGACAGCTGTTCTGTACACTCTCACAACAGACCCATTTGCTTTGTATTTCTTCGTCACATAACAATTACAACATTTTCCTACCATTATATTGTTGGCCAGGGACTGTAGCTCCACCTTCCTAGAGGACTGGTGTGGTTACTGGAAAGGTGGCTTCTGGAAATGCGATCTTTCAGAAGTAGGAAATCATAACACTCAGATGAGATATAGCTCAACTACTCTACTCTCCAGTCTAGTGCTCAGTCTGTGAGAAGGCTAGAGGCAGAGAATATTTTAGAGACGGAAGAGAAGAGTCTTGGAACTCTTTCCATTAGTGGATAAGCTCTGCCTTTCCATCTCAACAGAACAAAAGGCTATCTACTATGTCTCCAACTAGAAGACCATCACATCTAGAAGTCACCTGGTCCCACCAGACTCACACAGCGGTGATGGTTGCCACGGTCTTGAGACTTGCCGGGTTCCGGATCATCTTGTCCAGGGTGTTGACAATCTCTGCAAAGCGGGGCCGGCTATTCCGGTCCTTCTGCCAACAGTCCAGCATGAGCTGATGGAGAGCAGCGGGGCAATCCATGGGAGGGGGCAGCCGATAGTCCTGCTCGATGGCGTTGATGACCTGCAGTGGTTGGTGTACAGCACAAAGGTGTGACTGGAGGAGGAGCCACCAGCTAGTCACTTACAAATTAGCCCCTGTGGGTACAGCCTTCCTGAGCAGGCTAGTGCAAGCACCCTGATCTACGACCACACATCCCCCATGGTAATGGACTCTGTGTATCCCCACCCCAGGCTGTGGGCTTCTAGAAAGCAAGGACCACATCTGATTGTCCCTTGGTGTCCTGTCCCCACTAACCAGTGCAGATCTGACACACATGAGATCTTGGTAAATTTAAGAACAGTGAGGACCTTCTTTGTTGTCGCCTCTTTAGAAGACATAGGGCTCATTTCTGCCTTACTGGTACTGAGGTGAAGAAAATATGATGCCAAACCTGGTGAACCCATTGGTTATAAAGGACATATCTCAAACCTGAAATGATTTCATTCTCTCATTCCTAAGAGAGGAGAGGGACCAGCATTGTTGGGGCCCTACTCTGTGCCAGGGACCCTCTGGGTTCTTCTATGCATTATTGACCTTCATTTTCATGAAGTAGCAACCTGAATGAGGTCAATGATCACTAAGTTAAACATTTGGTTAAGTAAAATGAAAACAGTCAAAATTTCAAGTTGCTCAAACAAAGTGAATATCTCCAATCAAGTTTTGGCAATTTTTAAGAACTCCAGGGAATAATTTTGTAAGAATTTTGATAATCTTCCAGTACTTGTTGGTTTTTCAGATGTTTGTATTTTTCATCCTGTACTTCTTAATTCCTAATCCATTTAAATCAATTATGCCTGTCCTGTGCTTTTTGTACTAGAAAAAATAATTATAAGTGGCCCAATGCTAACCATCATTTTATTATGGTACATTCACAAGACTTGGGAAAGAAAGCCTGAAATATAACATAGTCTTTAAAGTGATGTTACAAAAAAAATGTATCTATTGAAATGGAAAAAAGCTCATATTGTATTAGGCAAAAGAACAGGCTGTATAACTGCAGGTATAGTATAATCTTGATTTGTAAAAAATAGAAATCAAAACAAAACAAAATCTAAATTATACATATGAATAAAAATGACCTTGTAAACTCCATATACCGTGGAGTTAATGATGGTTGCCTATAGGCAGGTAGAAACATGAATATTCTTTAGGTTTTTCTTTCCACTTGTTTGTATTTTTTATTGTCTATGGTAATCATACATTGATTTTATGTTACATGGATACAGTACCTTAAACAACAAAGAAAATGATTTAAAACTTCAAAGATCCTCTGGTGTTTTTACAATTTAAAAAAAGTAAATGTATTAGAACTGATTATCATTTTAACATTAAAATTGCTCAAAATGTGAGTATTTCCAATCAGTTTATATTTTTACAATTTCATATAGGACATGCGATGGTGCATGAGATGATATAACCTGCAGTCATTAGGGATAATCAAGGTGTACTATTTTTTATTCAATACAATGAAAAACAAGCATAAAACCATACCAATATTGTCACTATATAAAAAGACCAGTAACTGGAAGCATTCACTTTTGAACAATGAATTGCACTGACAAATTTTTCTCTCCTCCAAACTGTTGTCAATCAAATTCCCTTCTGTCCTCTTAGGAGAACATTTTAACTCTATGTTCCCCATGAGAAAAACAGAGGCATAAGCAGTGAGGTAATTTACACAGAGGTAAACAGCTGGCAAGTGATAGGGCTGAGAATAAAGCACAGGTACCTGATTTTAATATTTTTCAGTTTTGAATACTTAGAAAACCACTCTTCCTACATTCTGGGGTGCTACTTAGAGCCTAGGAAATCATCCCCTAGATGTCTCTATGACAAGATATAGAACTAAAGTAATCTATGAGAATGAGCAGCTGGCATCACTCCCATCAGCCTGGATCATTAGTCTACTTTTCCAGCTTCTTGTACGCAACCAGGTTAGGGTGGCCCAGAGTCTCCTCTCATTGTGGAGACCAGTGGAATTACCCACTGAGAGGCCCAGAAGCTCTTTCTGGGTTACCAACGTGCAAACCCACATGACCATGTTGCTGAGAGAATAGCATAGAGATTATAGAGGCATTGGTCCTGGAAGTCTGGGTTCAAACCCTAGGTCCTAGGATAAGACGTTGAAGAGAGTGGAGATTAGAGGGCAACCAAACAGTATTCCCAGAGAGAAGGAAGAGTGAAGGTGTGTATAGGAAGGGGTGAGAAAAATGGCCCAGGGAACAATTACAAGCGCCCTACTGTGTCACTCAGAATCGTCTTCAGTACCTCTTTGGCCACCCTAAAACACTGTAAGTGAACAAATATCCCAGGCCTAACTAAAGAGGCAGAGATAGTGAGGTAAGGGAATGGAGCATGCCTTTGTTCACCTGAACCCAGAGAAAGACAATGTGGGATTGGGGAGGTGACTTGTGTGCCTCTGGGAAATGAGCAGAGCCCCTCCCTTCACCCTCACATTCTCAAGGGGGTCCTGGCTGCCTCTGAACCTTGTTTCCCATTAGTGAGTTGGGTCGCAGGTGGTGCACTGGAGAGTGTGAAGTGGGCGAGCCCAGAGCAGTGGAAGAACCAGGGCAGAGTGGGTTAAGTTGAGCTCTGATGTTTCAATAAAACTGCAGCTATTCTCCACAGACACTGCCACTCTCATTATCTCTGTCAATCAGATCCAAGCAGCAGAACTTCCAAGTTGCTCTCTCTGGCTGACAAACTCTCTGTGCACGTTCAAAGACCTTCTTGGGCTCTGGAAGTCCAATTACCAGCACTCCGACTTGCCTCTGCAATTCCCTCCCTTAAAGCCTTTCAATTGTCATCTGTAAAATCCTTTACAGCCACTGCCTCCATGGTTTCTGATGAGGGAGGCTGCAGCCCAGATCTCTCCCAGGCCAGGTTGTAGAAGCTTTCTGAATGGGCATGAAGTAGCCTCCTGTCTCCCATCAGGTACAAATTTTCACTTGGGACAATGTTTTAGGGGCTTTATTTTGAAGAAATACAACAAAATTAGAATAAGCTGCTATTTTACAGATGTTCTTATTCTCTCTGAGACCCAGCTGAAACATCAAATATCCAAGAAGCTTTCCCCACGCACACATTCCCAAGCCCTGCAAATTTGCCACTGGACTGTGAATCCCTCAAGAGTAGAATCAGCACCCACAATGCTTAGTCACAGTTAGCACACAGTGACTGTGTGTTGAATGAATGATTTGCAAATTCTCAAAATTTAACACCAGAATTCTATTTGTTTTCAGCTTAGGTAAATGCATTTACCTAGGATATTCTGAATGTCAACTCTTGCCTGTCAGTTCTGTAACCCATTCTATGTGGGTTAAATTTTCTTAATAGGATTAAGGTCTCTGGGAGGGACGAGATGGGTCTGCTTTGTCTGGCTAACATTTCTTACTCATCTAGCAAACAGTGTGCAGCCGATTTCATGAAGGCGGCTCAGCATCAATTCTGCCACTTACTGATTGGACACACTATAGAGGTGTGGATAATCACAGATAATAGAGGCCCTAGACGCCACCTGTGGTTGACATCAGGATGGTTTTTGGAGGCAGCCATTTTATCCACTAGAAGCTGGAGCACTCTGCCTGGGTCAGCAGTGACTACTGTCCCAGAAGCACCCAGCTCATTTTCACAGTCTCGCTGGGAGATTGCTACCACATAAATCTTCTGAGAGAATGCCATGACTCTAATCCCCTGGCTGGACAGGGAGCTGGCTGAGGACAATTTCCACAAGCTATGAATGCCTCAGAGTCCATCCAGAGAGGAAAGTGTTTAAAGTGTGACAGAAACCGGATCTGGATTGGGGACAGTCCTACCTGCTTCTAGTCTATAAGCTGGGAACTGCATCCCATGGTGAAGAGTAAGCTGAGAACAGAGGTTCAAGTTTTGCAAACTAATCATCTCTTCTCCAAAGGGAGGGTATATATTTAAAACACAAAAGAGGACTGGGCCTGGGGAACCACCTGGCTCAAAGAGAGTGTTAAAATCTAGGTAGGACTTTCACCTGGAGTATTGTCAAAGCAAGTAACACTAAAAAGGCTTCTTCACTCTTTAGAAACTATGGAGCAAAGAAAGATTCCATTCAGAACGCTCCCCAAATACCTCTTGTTACAGCATCTCTGATGTTCCTTCTCTTTTCTTTCCTACCCTTGTCCCTTGCAGGTGGCCTGGAAGGAATGTTGATGCCCTCTAACAGACAGGGAACTGCTCTTGAAGCCCATATGAAGCTGCCCTCTTAGGAATGTGTTCTCAGCTCCTTCTTCACTGAGGAGCTTGTAGAAGTACAGATTCTCAGAGAAGAAGGCCCTTTACTATTCCTTTCTATAAAGCTGAACATGCAATTTCCAGATGTACAACCAGTCCAAAGCAGTAGAACTGTTACAGAAGAGTAGGACAGGAACCCAGGACCTGGCCCTTGTGCCAGTATTCCTTACCCTCCATTATCATGCAGAAGGAAAACAGAGCCTGGGCTCTGTGATGAGTAGAATCTCATGCTTGGTTTGGACTTGATTTGTTCATGGTCTATGGCCATGCAGAACCAGCCCATTGTCTCTTTGGCTGGAGTCTGTAGCCTGGGTGCATTTATAGGGTTTGTGGTCATTGGGACTGTCACTGTCCATGCTGGGCTCTTTGGGTTAATCTAAATACTTAAGCCAAGGATGTCCCTGCTCTCAAATCAAGCTCAAACTCAAGTTTATGATAGGAAGGCTTGCTGTCCACTGTCTTGGATGGGCATTTGTGGCAACCACGTGCTCTGACACTTACATCTTGGTTGGACATATCCCAGTAGGGTCTCTCTCCAAATGACATGACTTCCCACATGACAATCCCGTAGCTCCAGACATCACTGGCTGAAGTGAATTTGCGGTAGGCAATGGCCTCTGGTGCTGTCCATCTCACAGGAATCTTCCCTCCCTGGAAGAAGGAAAAACCTGATCAGTCTGTCCGCCAGTTTTCAGCTGGTGGAACAGAAAGAAAATGCACATCCATCCACTCCCCCACAACCGCATCTTATGAGTTAAGTTAGTCAGTACAGTCTTGGCTCCACAGGTGGGCAGCACTACTGTGCCTACTTGAAGGAGTTCAAAAGGATCAGTGTGGCCTATGTTGGTCTCATGCCATATGTGGGCACCCCAAATGCAAGTGCATAACAGGCACTGAAGCTTCATCCCCCATCCCAATTCCTTCCAAACTGATTCTAATGTTACTGTTGGGGAGTGAATAATTGCCTTAAAGCCACTAGCACCACATGGAGTGCAAACTGTGGTTCTTTGTCCCATGGCAATGTAAAAGCCACGGGATTCAAAACAGGAAGAAATGCAATGAAACAAAACAGAGAATGAGGCATTTCCCTGGAGAGCCCCTTCACCCGCACCCCCACTGCAAGATCACACTGGGCTGCCCCTCAACCCCATTTCCACTGTGTTGCACTTCTGGGAGAAAGATTTTCCTAACTGTGCAGTCTGCAGACAGCTCCAGGCTAAATGGGACTTTGATGGACTCAGGGCATGGCCTATCCAAATGCTGCTTGTCTACCCTGCCCTTCCACAGAGAACTGGGGAGGCTGTAGGTATGTGTTTTTAAAGGAATGTCTTTGGGTTTGTTTCTCCTTCTTCTTGCCCTGTGGTGCCACACTGGAGTTTCTAACCTGTCTCTGTGTGGTCTTTAGCTTGACTGCTGACCTTGGAGCAGTCAAGTGCTGTTTACCTAAAGAGCTGATGCACAGCCTTCATCCATTTGCACTATCAACAAGTAAGCAGCAAGCACTGTTTTGTGCGGAGGAGGAGCTGGAGCCCCCCAGAGATGAGTCACTAGGCTCCTCGCCCTCATGATGCATAGGAGCAGGGAGACAGACTGGAAAAAAAATCTTAAAATGGAGTTACAACAATTGAACAGGGGAAAGGTGAGGATGTGGATGGGTCCCGGGGTTCTGTGAACGGGAGGGGACTCCCTAACACAGGCAGAATCAGACAAGGTGTATCCTGTGGTGCTTAAGTTGTCCCAGAGCCTTACGCTAGGTTCGGACACCAGTATTTTCCCTCTTCTACCTGTATAACCGAGTCAAGTAACCTAACCTGTCCCGTGCCTGTTTCTCACCAGCATCTGGACAGTCATCATGAGGGGTAAGTGGTTAATACCATATGGAACAGGGAAGAGGTGTTGCCATGGACAGTAAGGGCTGTGTTAACTATTACTGGCTCAGCCTAAAGGACAAAGAGAAGTTCACCAGGCAAAGTGAGAAGAGGAAGGAATTCCAGGCAGAAAGCAGTGGATGCAATGGCTAGAGGAAGAGAGTGGATGAGAACTGTCAACCACACAGGCTGGATGAAGCAGGGAATGCCCAAAGGGAAGTAAAAGGTGGTGAGGGCAGAGCACAAAGGAAGGCACTGTCAGGTCTGTCTTGCATCAGTGCTGCTTATAGGTGTTAAGAGTGGGCACTTGCCAAGGCCACTCTCCAAGCTCACCGCTCTCTGCAATAAGCATGTTCCTCATTTTCATTTCTTCACACCAAATACCGGGATTTCACTGCCATGGCACTTTCTCTAGACCTGGACTCTGGATCATTCCATAATCCAAGAAATGCGGCTGCACTGAGCAGGGACAGTAGTTCCCACCCTACTCTTTTCCCTGGCCTCATGCCTCAGCTGAAGGCAGCTATTTTCACATTGACCATTCTTACAATCTGCTCAAGTCACTAAAGATACAGAGTGGACTTTAGCAAAAATACCTTACAGTGTATAAACAGTTCATGTGAGGGGGAAAAAAAAAAAGAGCAAACCCCCAAATATGTTTTTATCTGGGTTCCTATCCAGGGCCTGGGAGGAATAAACCTGGCCCAAACCTCCCCAGGCACATATCCAGTTTTCTGCAGAGAAGACAGTTCTGATTTCCCCTGAGGATGCTGGCAAGCTTTTGCGGTGGGAGATGCCCTCAGCTCAAATGCCAGCAACACGACAAATGCCTGGAGGGCAGGCTCGTGCTGCACAGTCCACAGGATGCTCCACCCTCATCATCCCGCTGAACATGAGCGCGCTCACTGGCCTTGTCAACACAGTACCTGTGGCCAGGAAGGGAGGTAGGAAATTCACCCAGTGAACCAGGGGTCCTCAAACACCTTGATATCAGTGTTTGAGGAGAGCTGGGGACCTCTGTCATTTGTGGCTAGTAGAGGAAGCACCTTGAGATGGCCTGGGTTCCCTTCACACCATCGGGGGGGGGGTTGCACCTGGCTTAGGTGAAGTAGGAGAAAAAGGAATTCAATTAGTGTTCCCCCCTCTCCCTCCCTCCCTACCCTATATTGTGTATGAGAGAATAAAATTTTTTGCAAGAACATATCAATATGAATGTGTGCGTGTGTGCGTGTGTATGTGTGCGCGCGCACGCGCGAGTGCACAAGACTGAGAGACAGAGATAAAACTTGGCAGTCTAGGACTGTGAGTAACAGAGAGTTATGGCTTGCTTATGTTTTGTGTGTATTTGTGTGAGGAGGGGGTAGGAGATGAAAGTCTAGTTCTTCTGAATTTCAAAGAGGTGATTTGGGAGTCTGGAAGTGTCCTCCTCTGGCAAGTCTGGAGCAGACCCTAGGGGCTGTCGGTGACAGCTGTTGAGCTGCTCCCTCTTGCATGTAAAGTGGCAGTGCCAGGCCCACTGGTGAGGAGCCGCAAGCCCTCCCACCACCTTGAGCTGTTGGGCCTCACTGAACACAGAGACTGGCCTGTCACCACCACTCCCCCGATCCTAGCAGGTGGCCAGGCCTCCAAGAAGAACCGCACAGGACAGGCAGGTGACAGCTTGTTACGACGAGCAGCTCTCCTACTCAACTGAAGAGCAGGGGACATTGACCTCTGAGGCAGAAGAAAAGGTGATGCAAAAGCAGAGGAATGTGGTGGTAGGTGCTTTCCTCCCTGGGGATTTTAAATTTTCCTGTCTTTTCAAACATCCTCTCAGCAGCATTACCTTCTGATGCTCAGGAGTAATTATGGTGATGATGATTATTATTTAACTTGTCTTCAATTTTATGACAGGAAATCTATTAATTTAGAGGATGGTGACCAGTCCTGTGGAGAGGATGGAAGTCAAGAGGTGGGACAACGCTATAGCAGGCCATCAGACAGGGAGTCCTACTCCCCAAAAAATCTAGACCAGAAACCAAGGTCAGGGTGTCCGTGTGTCTGAGAAGTGGCCTGAGTCTCCTTCTCTCCAATGTAGGCATGAGGGAGGGCCATGGAGGAGAGGAATGCCCTTTGGGTGGTTTCTTTATGTTCTCAGGAGGGCAGAATTCAAGGGTGATGAGGAAGAGATGGGGCTTGCAAGGAAAGGGTCTGTATTCACATGGGCACAGAGGGATGAAGAGCACGTGGTTCTGACATGAGTTTGCCGGAGTACCTGATGGCTCACTTCTCAAGGAATGCTGAGGCACAGGTCTGATTTCTGTAGAGGATAAGTCTCCCTAGAGCTGCCACAGGGGGTCCTGTTGGGGTCTGAGAGAGACAGAAAGTGAAGGAAGGGACAGGTACTTCACCATCAGCAGGACTCGAGTTCCCTGTAAGATTTCATGTATTGACCTTCTACATATGGCTTTGAGTTGAATGGTTGTGCTGCCAAGAAAGTCTTCAAACTTGAGAAAACAACTGCTTCAAAATAATCATGTCTTTATTAATAAGACAAATGAGAGAGAGAGAGAGAGAGAGAGAGACAGAGAGAGACAGAGAGAGACAGACAGAGAGAGTAGAATTGTATAAACTGAAAGAAGACAACTGGCACTGGACTAATCCTAACCCAGCTATCTTCAGGTACAATGCCAATGGCAGGTTTCTGTGTAGCGGCATTTTATTTCCTTAGTCTCAGCCTGTATGCAACATATACTCTGTGCCCAGCAGTCTGCTAGTGACATGGTCCTTCTGAGACTCAGCTCCACACTCCAGGGGCAGTGGACATCACTAATGCCGCATGGCCAGCTCACTGTCTTGCCACAGTAGGATTAGATAGCTATGACACATAGCTTTGGTTCTAGAGCCCAATCAACTATGAAGTTTTCCAGGCCAACGTCCTTCACAGGGTTGATTTCCCTTTCTAATTTTTTTTTATCCTGGAGAAGCCCATTGGGTAGTACTTCTGTGTGTCTGGCCATCGCTATAATGCTTTTCTCCATTGTCTCATGTGAGACAAGTCTTGATGGGATTATGGTAGAAATCTAGGCATTCAATGTACTTGATATGGTGACCACAGACTCATTCATCGGATATTAGAATTGTGATGCATGAACTTCTTGAAGCTAGGATGTGACAGATTAATGACCTAGGAGCATCATGCAATGGCTCTGAATTTCATAAGCCAGCTCTTCCGAAATGTTTATAATATGAAAAACATATTGGAATTGTGAAAATCCAATGGGATAGATAAATAAAACACAGAACATATTACTATTACCATTAGGCACAAATTTACTGAGTATTGTGAGTTGAATTACACCCTGTCAAAAAATATATTGAAGTCCTAACCCATGATATCTGTGAATGTGGCCTTACTTGGAAATAGGGTCTCTGCAGATGTGATCAAGTTAAGGTAAGGTCGTACTGGATTAGTGCAGGCCCTAAGTGTAATGCTGGTTTCCTAATGAAAAGGTTATATGAAAATAGAGACTCAAAGGGGAGAGCACCGCGTGAAGATGGAGGAAGAATTGGACTGATGCATCTATAAGCCAAGAATGTCAAGGATTGATCACATCTGTACAGAAACAGATCCTCTCCTACAGCTGTCAGAGGAGGATAGTTCTGCCAAGACCTTGATCTCCGGCTTCTAGTCTCAGACTAGAGATAATACATTCCCATTGTTTAAAGTCCGATTATAGTACTTTGTTATAGCAACTGCAGGAAACGCATATGTTAAATCACTCAATTTCATTGGGCACTAGT